TTTGTCAGCTTTTACTCATGACAACTTTAACGGATTGTTTATCAGTTTTGACCAAACCTTGAAGGTTTTAAAGTAATTATTTCAATAAAATGTTATTCTTCAAAAATAAAAACTAATTTTCTGTTCATATGCTATCTATTGTAAGATTGATAGTAGGAAATTGATGGTAAACAAATAAATTATAGTGTCTCCGTTGACAACACTGATGGAAGCAGGCAAGCGTGTGAAGATTATTTGTAGGATACTTGGATAGTAATAGAAAGAGTGATTTCTTTTTATCTATTTAAATTAAAATTTATTGTCTTGTGCTTGTTAATTGAAGCACATAATCATGACTGATAATATCTGTGCTATAAAATATTAAAATTTGTGTAATTATTTCAACTTAATTTTCAATTGATACATTTTATTAGCAATGGTCAAATTTTAAATTGAACCTTTATTCTTTGGCAAGAGATGTGCATTTACGGTGCTATGTGATAAGGGAGTAACTGTTAGATGCGTTTGGTTTAGAGAATATTGGATTATGAAAATATTATATTAATAAAAAGTTAGATTACCTTAAAAATTACTAAGAATCTTTAGAGAAATATGTTTTTAATTGAAATTAATTGGTGGAAATGTTTAATAATATTGGTTGGAATGAATAAATTGGTGAGTATGTTTTTAAATTATTAAATTACTCTCCTTTTTAAAATTATACAATATTATTTATTATTAATTTTTGGATATTTTTTTTAACCCCCAACTTTCAGATTTAGCTAAAACACCTCAACTTATATAAAACTTTAATTTATAACAAAATCACCACCACCACCAAGCCACTGCCGACCGCGAGCCACCACCGCCAGACGTCGCCTCCCACCAAGTAGAGTTACCAGAAGTCGTTGGAAATTGCGGGAGTGCGGGAATGTGATATGATCGTTTCTAACCATATTGATGGCCGAAAACGATATATCGATGACTCTCAATGACTCGACGACTTCCAATGGCGGCGCCAGTGGTTGGGCAATGCCAACAATGGTGGTTGGATGGCGATGGTAGTTACAATTTATTTTAAATACAAAAGCATTATGTCTAAAAATTAATTAAACAAGGGTAAAATTGTAATGATAGATTAATGTAAATTGATTTTAAAACAAGGAATTATGTCTAGAAATTTTATAATAAAGGTAAAATTGTAATAAAAATAAGATACTAAGTAATCTTACAATACCTAAGAAAATAGAGATAATCAAATTACCTTTAATATTACCAACAGTAACTACTATGGGTTCATTTGGATTGGGTAATATTAGATAACTGTGATAATATTTTTAAATTGAGCTGATAACCGTTTGGTTGGTTTGTAAAAAAAAATTTCTGGAATATTTTATGACAAACAGTAGCATTTGGGGGTATATTTCCGATAATTATACTTGGGGGGGGGGGGGGGGGGGGGGCTGCGTAATTAAAAACTTAATTGGTATTACAATTTTTTTCATATTGCCCAAACAGTTGAGCATTTGGTCTAAATTAACCTTATATTATAATATTACAAAACACCCAATCATATGCAGATACTTTTGTCCTCACTTTTTAAATTTTTCGAACAACATTGCCCTTGTTATTGTCATTGGCTATCGTCAATCGCCGCTGGAGGCTGCAAAAGTCCGCCATATGGCGTACGATAGCCGTATATGGCTAGTTGTGCACCAGTGAGGCTTTTTCCGACCATGGATCATAGATCCAGACATTTTTAAAAGCCAAATCGAGGGCAACGCTTTATTGCCTGGGTCACGATTAACCGATGACATCATCAACACATTATAATGATGTCAACATATTTTTAAAAAAAAAAAACTTTTTTTTTTTAGATTTCTATTTTTTAATAAGACAATAACAACTTATACTGTCCAACATGATTCAAAGTTCAAATTCAACAATAATCTCAACATAATTTAAGTATTTAACAAAAACCAAAGTCAAATCTAAACATAATGTTGTATTTACTATTAAATGATAAAAATACAAATAAGTAAGAATATAATTTCATAGTAGACGCCACCGAACATAAAGGTAATCAAATATAATTTGATGATGAAATTTGAATCAAGGTCAAGATATAACCAAATATGGCAGGGACCACATCCAAAATCAAATATAACTCGTAAGGGGATTACATAGAAAGAATAATGATTTCATTCAATAAAATGTTGACAAAAATTGTGGTTTACAACAATTAAAATAACACAGGGATTGGGAAAATCATGTTGACAAAAAATTATTGGTTTACAGTTTACACACTAAATTTATCTGCACCTTTGCCGTGAAAACTAGGGGATTGTTGGTTGTGCAATCTGTAATTTTTAATAGTAGAATCCATTGCTCCGTAGGGTCTGCTTGAAGCACCCCTTGAACCTCGGAAGGAAGCGTATGAGGCCTTGACTGATTCTGGCAAAGAGTCCATCGGAATCGACACCACGAAGCATGCAGCCAAGAACTACAATACACAAACCTCAGCTAATTAATCTGGAAACATAAATCATCAGAACAAATGATAGGAACATGATCAAGGCTCGAATGACCACAAAAACCATCTTGATCAAAAAATCACAACTTTCTGACCAGACCAAGCACTGATCCAAACCACAAAAGGAAACCTAGATACATAAAGCAAGATCACAAGTATAAAGAGTGAGAACCATCAAGAAAAACACAAGAAACAAAAAAAAAATGGTACGGATTTCAGGATCAAAACTGCAGAGCCTTACTGGATCCATTGTTTTAAAACCCAGACCGGAGGGCAAACCGTTTTGTCGTCCGGGTCACGGGTCAACCGGTCCAACCGCTTGGACGGCTGGTTGGACCGTGATATCAGCATATTTTATTTTTAAAAATTACCTATTAACCCTTAAATTTCAATATATTACAAAAATTCCCCTAAAAAATTCAAAATGGTCCCTAAAAATTTATTTATTCAAAAATGCCCAATAAAATTACCAATTAATCCCTAAACTTTTGATATATCTCAAAATACCCCTATAAATTACAAAGTAACCCTCATAATTTTAAATATTTCAAAAACCCCTGAGACCTAAACGGACCGGAGAGCTGCCGGTTCCCGGTCAACCGGTCTGACCGACCGTTTTAAAACAGGTTAGATCGAGGAATGGAGTGTTGTCAACGAATGGAGCTGTTGCCGTCGTTTCCAGTGAGGAACGGAGTTGTTGTGTCGATTTCCGACGAGGAGTTCAATTGCGACTTAGTGAATGCCGAAGATTGCGATTTCAGACTTAGGGAGTAGAGTTGATTGCAATTTGAGTGGGATTTCAGAGAGAAATTTTCAAAGAGAAACTGAAAAATCTGAGAGAAACTGAGAAAGAAGGAAGTGAAAACAAAGAAAGGAAATCGATGGAAGACTGTGATTAAGGGTTTTTGAAATCAGACCAGTTTATCCGACAATTAGATTTATGACATTGCCAACCATAAGTGGCTAACTGCTAACATGGCTTAAGGTGGATAGGCTGTTTTCGTTAATTAAAACATTTTAATTGTTAGGGTGTTTTTCCTAAATCTAAAAAAAAGCGGTTAAAAAAATTATTAAAAAAATAATAATAAAAAAATTGTTATTTATTATATTTGAAAAAAAAGCGATTTAATAATAAATCATACTTTTCATTTATCTTCACAACAAACACTATTATCACTAATTTATTCGAACCACCAAACACTTTTCTAAACATTCCCAATAACTTAAAGTGACTTTTATTCCGTTAATGTAGTATTCCTATAATAAAACATTATATTATCCAAACACCTCTTATTAATATTTGAAGATTACTAAAAACTTATATTATTTAAAACAACCATAGATAATTAAATAATATAAGATACATTATCTCAATAATCCTGTAACCCTACTAAAAACACACTTAATGTGATAAAGAAAATGCTGCTTTATGCTCCTCAAACCGCTAGTTGCCTACTTTTAAGGATAATAATAAAAACTAAAATAACAAAATCAGCTTTACATCCATCCTAATTCAGAAACGAAGCACTTAAATGAACAATAAAACGACTATAATATATATAATATATATATATATATATATATATATATATAATATATATATATATATATATATTGTCACATAATAAATTTCAGGACTCTGATCCTGCACAACTAGCGACCAACTGAACTCTAAAGCATAAGTGTCTTCTGATGACATTCCAGCTGCTACAAAAGATGAACCAACAATCAAAAAGCAGAAATGAAACTTCTGGATTCTAGACTGTGCTCGCTCCTCTCCTCTGCTCCATCTAAGTCCCCAATGTTGTCATGGTATTCTGTTTCGTAAAAACAATAAGTAACCGGTGGGTAAGGTTGATATGACGTTACATAAAAAAAAAAAAAAAAAAAAAAGCAAAATAGAGTTGCTACTGGACTAATCTTTCAAACTCGATTGTCACATTCATGAAGTTGAGTCCAACTCATTCAAGTAAATTTTATTGGTTTAATCGAATTTTTAACAAACCTAATTGAAGATACTATTTTTTTTTTCTTCTTATTTTGAGATGATACGCTATAATAGAGTGAAATACCAAGATCTTTCCTAATTAAATTGTTCAAGTTCAACATAGCAGTAAAAAATTGTATTTATGTTTTGCTATAACCAAAGCTTTTAATACCTAGTATCATGAGAAAATATAAAATCATAGCCATTATTTGACTCATTCATCTATACTTTCTATCTAAATATAACATGTTAAATCTATAATTCTCTAATCATAATAACATATTTCTTATAAACTAGACAAATTTTGTTAGTTTTTTTAGTCTTATAATAATTTTATTTTAATTTTGTAAGTATTATGAGAAAGTTTCTGTGTGTGAGATGAAGATGGCTAGTATCATTTGAGGGTAACTGCACAAAAGATCAATAAACTTGAATTTATGCCAAAGATTGTATGAAACACCTTCAACGAAGAGCAATGAATAAATCTTAGACGCATGTACTTACTCAGATCACCAAAGATGACCCAGAATGATAGCAATTAACTGCAAGTTTGCACAGAGAGTTAATAAGAACACTGAACTTGATAATTAAAAGCACGTAGTTAAACAATCCTATTGTGGTGTATAAATCCCCAATTCAATTTCAACAAATCATTTCAAAAACAATCACTGGAATAAGATATCAATGGCAAAATATTTCTTGAGTACTTAGTTTCACTTTCCTTCCAGCATCATTAAGTTGACACAAGAAGCTGAGTTGTAAATATTTAGCATCAAATCCGCTAACTTCACTTTCTTTTCTTCTCACCGTTGTGGCTTTTAGTAGGTTAATGGCCAAAGCAAAGGAACATTTGGGGGAAGGCTTAATTATCAGCAGGATCCAGATATGTGATGATAAAGATTAGTGAGCAACTTTAGCAAAGGCAAGTGTACTATGTAGGCCTACAACTCGTGCCAGTCCATCTAATACCAGATTACACTGATAAGTTACAAGTAAGAAGGAAGCCACCAAGACAAATTCTAACCTGAAGAGTGTATAGTCCAGATTCAAGCCTCCGATTATACCTTTCTTCTTCATCCATCTGCAAAATACAACAAATTATTCAAAAGTGGAATATGGAACTAAATACCAAATAAAACCGAAGGGTACCATCATTTAGGGGTTAGCTGTTTAAAAACAGACAAGAAAAGGGACACAAGTCCTAAAACCCATTAAAAAAGGTCAATTACCAAATCTTCACTATTAAAGATAACAGTAATTAAGGTTATTTAACGCTACCGTGTGAAGTCAAACAATTTAAATTTCATAACCAATTATGACACAAAATATAAATCAAATGAAATAAATACCAGAACAAATCATATTAGGACATGTGACAAAGAAGGTCTAAACTTACACTAAAAAAGACAAACTTTGAAGTGTTAAGAAATCGAATGTTTCATCTTTCTTCACACTTCAAAGAAAGCGTGAAGTTGCTTAACATTTTCAGTATGAAACCTTAGAATAAAAATTAAATAAATAAATAAATAACAGAACCAAACACATTATTAGAAAAAATTAATAGGTTGACGTGTCCATTTCACTGCTCATTATCCAATCAAACTCAAAATCCCATGTTTAACCCATTTTATAAAAACTAACACCATTAACCTAATGCAAGGGAACCACAAAAAAGGTGAATAAAATGATAAACTCAGAAAATTACACCTTTGAAATAGCCTTTCCACGACAAAAATGGTGTGTAACTATACTCTTTCTTTCAAGTGTGGAGGAAGACAAATTATTTGTTTCCTTTACACTTTAAAGTTTGTCCTTTTTAATATAAATTTAGGTCTTCCTTGCCATATGTCCTATATGATTCATTCTTGCTAATTATTCTTTTGACATATGTTTTCTTGCGTCATCCCTTGATTGTTTATGAAATTTAAATTATTTGACTTCACAAAATGGTTGATGGTCTCTTAATCATTACTCATTGTTATCTTTGACAATGATGGTCTCTTAACTTATCCTAATTAAAGGGTTTCAGGACTTCTGATCTTTTCTTGTCAGGTTTTAAATAACTCCTAAATGATAATACCTCCAAAAATGAATTACCTCTAAATCATCAAGTTCAAGCTCATTCATTCGTTCAGTCTCCGCTGCAACTCTATCTGAATATCTGGATCAAGATTTATAATCATTAGAGGGATATAAATCTAATAACAACTTGGCCCAAAGTATGGCCGAACACCTTTTAGTTCAATTACAGTCCAATTACAAAGTTAAAGTTAAGCATTAGTTGCAAGAACACTCATTGTTGTTGCAACGCTTCAAACTCTACCCTTTGATCGGACTACAAACTACCATAACAAACTCCACATTCACGAGAACACCTCGTCAACCTTTAAGACCTCTCAAGGATCAATCACTAAAGACGCACTCCAGTTGAATCAGCTTGAAAATGCTTCAAGCAGCAGTTACATAACCAACGTAAAAGCAAGGACAAAATCAAAATATTTGAGGAAGGTATTTGTAAGTCTACCTAAGCATATGAAACTTGATGTAAAAAATAAAAAATAAAAACCTTTTAGAATATGAGAGTACTTTCAAGAGAATTATGAGGTTTAAAATGAAATTACATTGGAGAAGAGATTATATAGAAAATATGCCAACACAAGAGGACAAGTGGCCAACGATATGCTTTATGGTTTTACCTTTATGAAAAAATTTATTCCAATTCTCTTGGGACCACTGACATTTGTAAATAAACTTTCCAGCAAATTACATGAATAAATGACAAGTATCATGCACCAAAAACAATATATCAAAAGAGAATAAAAAACAGTTTAATGAAATATTGAAATGCAATACGTGTTATGCAAAATATCTGATAGATGCGTGTGACCACTTAGACTTTGAAGTGCCCACACGATATAATATAAAACTGACTTAATTAAAAAGTGGTCACTTTGACAATAAGTTATCACACTAGAAATTTAAACAAAAATTATAGTACAATATTCAAAGTAAAATGTTCATACTATACTATGACTAGTGTTATCACACTATAATCATAAGTTGATAACTTACAACAGAGACCAATAATGACAAAATAACCCAAAAAAATCTAACGGAGGTGAATAATTTTTCACAATATGATGGTATAATGGTCAAATCATTTTAACTATGTGATTAAGGTTGTCCTACCACCAGTTTTAGTTTTATCTTCAGACTAACAAAAAATAGATTTGGCTAGATCAAGCTAAAACACAGCCTAGTAGGATTTGGTTTCGCGAAGTCAAATCTGGCTTCGAAGCCAAATCCAGCCAACCCAACGAATGGCTAAACGCAACTGCTATGATCAAAACTTTTGTATCAAGTCATACATATTCACCTTTACACCAACGCTAAATTTCATGGCCAGCACCATTTTGTTTATTATTGTTGACTTATTTCAAACACATATATCGGTTATCCTTTCACAAAGGAAAACGGAGATCAAAATAATCTTTACTCAGAAACTTATTACGGTAACATCAGTGGCGAAATGGCACCCCAGACCCCAATTTTGTTTTTTTTTTTTTTTTGAATTTCGTACAGAAAATATCATTTAATCCCTATAAATTTAACTTTTTGCCACCCCAATTTTTTAATGTAAATTTAGCCCTAACTTCCTAATTTCTTTTGGCCTGGATTCATTAAACATTATTTCTTTAATAGTGAGGGGGACCCTTTTTTGCCTGTTAAGTCAGAGAATAAAACAACTTAACCCAACACAATCATATAAGTTATTAAATTATCCAATAGTCTAACCCGTTAAGAATGTTAACCAGGGGCGGAGCCAAATTTTTTTTCTGAGGGAGCCAGAAGTATTAGGGTATCACTTGATGACAGAGGCAAAACCAAAGCTGTGGAATTGGTTCAGCCGTTTGTTTTTAAATCACCTTGTTAGTTAAAGAGGCTACAGCCGTGGAATTTGTCCCAGCGTTAGTTTCTCAATTCTCACACTAACACTTGTAAAGTTAAAACTCAAAAGCACAATAGATAACCCTGGAACAGGTATCAGTCAACCTTCAAATCTAAGAGAGAAACCTATAAACACAAGCAGGTGTTACTTAACTAACTCATCATCATGGCCGGAACTCAATGCTCCTGAAGAATACGGATACGTTGCTCTCGTTCTTCTTTTATTGTTTCTGAATTTCTGGATGACCTTCCAGGTCGGCAAAGCCCGCAAAAAGTATGTTTCTTCTCATCTCATTTTCTCTTTATTTTTTCTGGGTATTTTTTATCTCACATGATCTTTTCTGTTGGGAAAAAAAAAAAATAAGATTAAACGTTCCTTATCCGACCCTGTATGCTATAGAATCTGAAAACAAGAGGCAAAGTTGTTTAACTGTGTTCAGGTAATTGACTTGCTGGAAATGTTACCATATTAATCTTTGGGTGATTCTTTGTGTAACGAAAAATATTGTGTATTTGGATTGGTGGTGCAGAGAGGACATCAGAACTCTTTGGAATTTATGCTATGTTCTTCATGCTGATGATTTTGGGAGGAATTAGTCATCCTTGTATATGTGCTGCACTTGGCTTCCTTTATATTGTTACTCGTTTTTTTCTATTTCAAAGGTTATGCAACCGTGATCCTCAAAAGCGCCTCACTATTGGGGTTGTTTCTTCTTCTTTTACTCAATCACTTTCTCATGTTAATAATCTCTATAGATACACTTTTATATACGAGGATTTTTTTTTTCTATTACTTTAATATAAAATATTCTAATCCACATATTGTGCATAGATAAAATTTTAGTGGTCTTAAGTTTTAAAATGTAGTTTTTAGTATTGATTTTTACTACTGAAGGAAAATTAAAGCCAATATTGTGTTGGCATAATATTGTTAATCTGCTGTTTGTGGTCAATGACAATACAAGACAATGAAGGATCAGAAATGTTAAAATAAATGAATAAATAAAAGGATTAGACAGGTCTTTTGATGTTTATTCTTGTGTAGCGTGTCAATGAAAATTGTGAAAACATTGATAGGCATACAATTTTGAAACCATATTATCATAGTTTACAAAGACGCTTGAATATTGCATATTCGTAATCCTTTGATGTTGAAAGAGGGTACTTCATATGCAAAGGGGAAAGGTATAAAAAAGTTTCAACTGGAGGTGAATTCTATTGAATCAGGCTGACAGTATAGAGACAAGTGTGATTGAAATGTGATGAAATATTGGGCCTCAGTCAGTTCAAATTGATATGCTAAAATGTTGGTTTCTAGTTGTGTAGAGTTATGGTCCATTGTCTTTTTTTGCTTCTGTTGCCTTCCTTGAACCCTTGGCTGTGGCAGTAAATGAATATCAAAATGCCGGTTCAACATAAAGAGCTGTAAATGATGTCCATGAAAATCCACAGCTTGTTAAGTAAACTATTGCAATTAGCATTTTATACACACTTAGATATTAAGCTAATAGGTGGCAAAAGGAAGCACCTCCAACTAAAAAAAAGGTCAAGTTGAAGGAAGCTGCAATGTAATAACTTGCTTCTAAAGTCGAAAACACTGTTGAGAAATGTTAAGTGAAACGTCTGTAGTCTTGTAGAGATTTGTGAAGGGAAAATTTCAGTGTTTAAAATTATGACATGGTATCTCTAACAGTACATCAAACTGTATTAATTGATAAAATGTACAATTTGTAAGGCAGAAATAAGCACAAGATGAGAGAATGTGAAGTAAATTCCTAATGCAGATTGATACTCACTTGATTGCTTTTCTTATTGTATACTATATTCATTCTCTATAATATCCTTGGTCAAATATATCAACACAATGAACATAGCATAACTATATACACATAAATTACTGCTAGTCACTATGGTTTGCTGATCATATTTTTCTTCAAAAGTATGCAATGTTAATACTTATGGATCTCCCTTTTATGTTCATTCCTACTTATAAAATCCATCTCCAGAGTACAATCATGAAAGTCTATAATAATGAGCGAGGATGATTATGTAAATCTATCCAAAGAAAATGGAGGCATTCATTGTAACCAAAGAAAGAAAATTGGATAGTCTAATTCCAGAGATTATGAGCCATGCATTTCTGAAAAACAGTTTTGCACTGCTTGTGAATCCCTGATATCTGATCATTAGGTTTTTATGCATAAGAGGGGATGGGAAGGATATATCTTCAGTAGAGTGGTGATCTCTTAGCAGAATTTTGGGAATAATTGAGTTTTCACTGCGGCTCTTTGAGGATAAACCATTGCAAATCAGTTGCTATTAGGGATATGAAGAAAGTGAAAAGTTGATGATAACATGTTTTGTGCGAGGATTATCAATTATTAGATAAACTAGGATATTGTATGGTATAATACTAGATGTATTTGAACCATTAGATGAAGAGAACAGTTATTTAGAAAACATTTTATCAATGATGTTAACTCCCATTGTACTAACATCATAGAATGACTGCCATTATTAGTAGACTTGTATAAGCTTCCTTTAAAGAAGATTTTAGAAAATGAAAAATCATAACTGAAAGCTAATTTACTATAAAGAGTGGATGAGCAGTTCATGTTTGGAATCATAAAAACTAGTAAAATCCATATGAAAAAAAAAAAAAATTAACATATTGTTAGTTGTAGTTGAAAGGTGTCGACTTGATCTTGAGCTTTTTGTAACTCTGACAACAACTATGGGACCATTAGTCAAATACAAACTGGAAAGCTATTATACAGTACTTGAAATGCTGAGTTGGTGATTATTCAGTTCATTTCTTTTGTTCTTGTGCAGGAAATATGGATTTCTGCTATAATGGGGCTTATGGTATGCACAATTCGTTGGGATACAGCAGCTCGCGGATAAACCTCTGCACCTCTGCGGTTATTAATCTTTAATATCCCAGACTTGCCATCTCCATATTATCCTCTTTTATAAATAGATATCTTTGTGTTTAGGTGGCAAGGACTGCAGTTTTATGTCTACGTTATACTAGATAGAATATAAATCTGAAAGATAGTTGAATGATAAGGGTTTCTATATACTGCCCTCGTTCGTAATGGTAAAGATTGACTAATTTGTGAAAAATAAATATTGCCCTTGTGGATTTTGCTTGTTATTGTGAAATTGAAGAATTGTATGTGTCAATTCATTGATTTATCACTAAGGAGTTAC